ACAAGTGTCAACCTTTTAATAAGTATATTTATATAATTGCCTAAATGTATTTGTGTAATCAAATAAAAAATGGTAACAAACTACCTACAATGCAGCACTGGGTACTGTGTGGGCATCACAGCAGAAGTCAGGGGAAGCAGTCCAAAAGGTGAGTTTTGGGTGTAATCTCTGAGGCAGAAGGTTAACAGAGGGGCAAGAGGTAGAATCCTGGACAAGGGGGACCACATGGAGGTAATGGACGCAAGAATGAAGTGATGCCTGTGGTTGAGGCTGCAAACAAGGCTGAAAAGCTTCTTCTGTGGTAGAAGGATTTGAGAGGCACGTTTTCCCTCAGTACTAAAAACAGATGGCTCTTTAGTTATTGCCAGAGAATTATATTTTCCATTTGCATTAATGTTTGATTGGTTTAAACACATTTTTCATCTTTAGAGAGGAAAGTAGAGTGTCTTTCACCAAACAGGGATTATTGATTGATAAGCATCCCAACTGGGGACTGCTTTTTTTTCCCCCTGGTAGCTGGCTGGTATGGGGATCTAAACGTCTGACCTTGGTGTTACAACACTGCGTTCTAACAAAGTGAACTAACCGGTCAGCCCTAAACGTTCTCTTGACATTTCCAGTCACCACTTACCTTAGGAGAGTTCTCTCTTGGAAGGGTTTTGGGCTGCAGAGTACCTGTGTTTACTGCTTAGGAGAAAAGTTTGTTGTAGAAATGAAAGATCCAGATTTTGCTTGATGAAAATCTACTGCCTTTCTTGTGAAAGAGAAATACAGTACAAAGGGTGGCAAATTTGAGATAACTACTTAGATTGTTCCTAGTAACTAGAATAGAATTAGACAAAAACCAGTGTACATATTCTAGAATTATAGAGCTTTATGGAAATGCTGCCAGTGCATCTTCCCGGCCTGGTTACAAAGACCACTGGGTTGAGTTCCAAACATTATTTAAAGCTCAAGACATATTTTGGGGGCTGGCCGTTTAGCTCACCTGGTTAGAGCATGGTGCTAGTAACACCAAGGTCAAGGGTTCAGATCCCCTTACTGGCCAGATG